GGGCGCTGGAGGAGAACCGAGCCGGGGAAGGCAGCCGCTCGCTCCGCTGCTGCCTGGCGGAGCCTAGCACGGGCTGAGTCTCAAACCCCGCGTTGTGTGTGCCCTGCGCTGCCAGGCGCGAATCCGGTCAGCTGGAAAGACTTCTGGGGACCCGGAGCGGAAGGACAGGTTTGGCGAATGCTGCGGCCTTGGTTGCCACGAACGTAACCGCGATTTCTCACACACGCGCGCCATACGTGCGCCGACAAGGAGAGAAAAACCTTAATGGAAAGCTTAGGAGGCTTCTCTGTAGGGAGATTTCAGCTCTTAATCTACCCTGCAGTCCACCCCAGTGTCAGTGGAAAGACGGGATGTTCCCGCCGTAAGGTTAAAAAGAAAGGATTCCAGAAGAGGGAAGAAATACACACATACACATGCGCGCACACCCCGCAGCGATGGCGGGTGGCGGTGCCTTTCGCGGTCTCAGGACTCAGGCTGAACCCAGAAAAACTGTGAGCACCACAGGGCACGGCGCTATCCTCGAGGCTGGTAAATGGAGAGCTAATGCCCTTTCCTTTCCGCCCGAAGGCTTCCAATAGGATGAAATATGGGATAGGAGAAAGGCCCGGGTAGAACGAGCTCTGGGTACTAAAGTTGCAAGACCTAAGAGGACCGAGGGCCGTGTGCCACGCCTCTTGGCTTGTCCCCTCGGGCTGGGCTTGTGGCGCGCTTGGACCACGTTGAACACTACTGCACCGCCCCCTGCTGTATGGTAACAGCAGAACATGGGGAAACAAGTCTTCCATGCTGGCCAGCTTGCCCCCACTGAAGGAAGGGCTCCTAACCCTTAAGCTCTCCCAAGAAATCGAGGCAAGCAATTGAGCTCCGGGTATTCCTGGCAAGGAACTGAAAAGTTTGGGAGTCTGCAAAACAAAAGCTGCCTCTTTTCCTGACTTTACAAGGAAATCTGTGAAGTCTGAACAGACACAGATGAACTGATATTTATTATCCATAAAAGGCAAAATTGTGTGCCCAGGGAAAAACAAAAACAACGTAAAAAGGAATTATATCATTAAAGGCAGTGTTTGATTTTGCTTATTGTTCAAAAGTTTTTGAATCGCATCGGTTGGTCCATGAAGGTCCTCTGGGTCTGCTGGACTTCTCTTAAGTATTGTAGTATGAGTAGAGGAGGCAACACGAGGAAAGCACCGAGTAGGGCCCTGGAAAGGGCAATAGGACTGTTAGCCATTGTTACTATTATAGTCTCCAGCTTCCTCTCTTACCCATTAACCAACCTGGGCTCTTAACCCACTCTGTCTACACTCCTCCCTAATCCTAGTCCAAGCTTCCCCACACCTCCTATGTGGACTAATGTAGTAACCTTGAAGTGATCTCCTTCTACTCTGTAATCCCTCCTCCCTGGCTTGAGTGCAGATATAAGAAGATTTTGAAAACTACAAATTCTCCACTTACAATGTCAGAGACTGGTACACAGTGAATAAAGCACCAGTTCTTACCATGGCTCTTTTGGTCCTGACTACTACTTCCATTCACACTATGTGCACAAGGTACATCTTTCTCCTCTGAAACTCTCTTCCTCTCTTCCTCCTGCATGGAATGCTTTCTCCCAGACTTTCTCTGGCTCCTTCTCACCTTTAGGCCTTAGCTTAAATGCCACTGCCTCAAAAAGGCTTCTCTACCCCACACTATAAAGTAGCCTAACACACACATCAATCTTCATTCCATCACCCTATATTAGTTTCTTCATAGTATGCATTAGAATCAAACTTACTGTCTGAATGGAAGTTTCATGAGGGTGAGAACCTTATGGATCTTGTTTTCCACTTAATCCCTACAACCAATGTCATCTGGGCGCCTAGAAAAAGACTTTCTTAAGAAGTTGACAATAAATGAGCAAATAATGTAACTAGTAGAAACTATATAACTGAAAGTCTGCAAATATCCATCATGAGAGAAAAACTGATTCTCATCAACATTAAAGATGGTGAAGAGGACCAGGGATTTAGCTCAATGGCACCATTGCCTGCCTCACCAGCTCAAGGTTCTGATTTCAATCCCCAGTACCAAAAAAAAAAAAAAAAAAAAAATTGACAAAGGAAAGAGAGGAAGTAGGTTAAAAATTAAGAGTGCTTCAACTCAACAAATAGGGTGGGGAAGTCACACATGAACAGCTCTCTTCAATAATTAAGAAGATTCCAAGGCATAAAAATACTAAAGAGCTTTGGTTCAATGTGCTAAAAGCTTGTAAACATTTTTCAGAGCTGTCCCAAAGCTCCAGCAGTTTTAAACATTTATTTCTTCCTTCCTCCATCTTTCCTCCTCTCCGCATCCTCCAACTCCTCTGAATAGGAAATTTAGAGGACTACTGTGAGATATGCCATAAAGTGGTACATTGAGCTATCCCTGAAAAAGGCTAAAAATCCAGCTATGCTTCAGAAATCCAGTTGCTTTTAGCAAACTTTCTATTACAATTTAACATGAGCCTCAGTATCCTGCTAGTGCATTAAGCCACAACCTCTTTGAGATTACTCTTCAAGAGTGGAGAAACAGCCAATTCCTGTGTTTTCTACCTTTCATGAACAACTGTGGAGGGAAAATTGGGTTAAAGATGTCATCAATGTCCTTGGAGATCATTTAAAATCTGGGGACATAGCTTTTTAGTTTATTGAGGTGTACTTACCAATGTGAAGTTGCTGTTTCAGTTCTGAATTTATATGTGTCCTATTTAAAGCTACTGTTGCTTTCCACAGATGAAGGAAATTAGGCTGTATGGCTTGAGTTTTCTACCATAGACACAAGATTGGCCAAGAAAGTGCTAAGCTCTTATTTTCCCAAGTAGGTTCCACACATCTGTTACCATACCACTTCCTCAATGAAATCCTTTTTATAGTTGCCCAGACCTATGCTACATTTGTTCTGCATTCCCATTCCTTTGTTGTATAATTCATACCTTTGCAGTGCCAGTCCCTCAGGGTGAAGATTTCCTTATTTGACTAAGACATTTTTAGTTTATTGTGCAATACCATCTTCCCTTTGGGTGTTGCATAAATATTAACTAAAAAATCCACATCTGGTGTTGGTCGTCATTTGTATTTGTCCTAATATAACTTCTCTTTGAACAATTCATTTGGAAAGTGAGCCAAGGGTGAAATATGGCACATAAATTCTCTTGTGCTGCCCTGAATGCTTTTTAAAATGCCCACAGATTTGGCCATTTATGAACAGAAGATTTGCACCTCTTCCTTACTCTCTCAATTCTAAAATTGTAGCAGGCCAAAATAATTACAGTCTCCCGTATGTTTTCTGAAAAGGTATCCAGGAATCTCCTACTAAAATCTTAACAGATTGACTAGGTAGCAGAAAAACACTAGCCTAACAGGTGAAACTAACTGCCTGCTTAGGTTCAGTTGGAACACAGCTCTCTGCTATGGGATTCATAAGCTCTGGGCTTTACTCAGGAAATAACCCTGCAGGAGAAAAACAGCAGCACATGGATGAAATGTGGGTCAGGGAGCCGAAAAAGGCACATGGACTGCTTGGTTAACTAATGACAGCAAATGCACTGGCTGCACATGTTACATTTAGATGTTTCCCAGCTTACCATAAAGTGCTGCCCTGCAGACATTATAGCATATAGCATCGCTTTACCTCAAGGCTTGTGATCCATTAGGAATATAATTAGGACAATACAGCCACAGAAACAGATCCTATCACCTCTGTCACAAAACTGGGGCTGTTAAAAACCAGCTGCTACCAAAATAATGATCACTCTAAGAATCTCAGTTTCCACAGATTCCAATTCCGAGGCTGTGGGGGTGGGGGGCAGAAGAGGAGGAGGAGTGTAGAAATAACATGGTAATACCCAGATAAGAGTAATTGCAGAGATGCTGAGGCTAATCAGAGAATTCAGAAACTTGATCAAGAAAAGCAAGGACCTACTCCTTCACAAAATCTCTCTGAATGCATTCACATAAACTGCTGTAAACAGTGATCAAAAATATTCTAACAACTTGAAAAATTGCAGAGCCCCTTGGATAACAGTTTTGATAAGCCTTAGACTCTGTAAAATAAAGAGTAGAGGGAAAATTCGTTTTCATGTGAATGTTAGTTTAAAATAACTAGGCGTTTAAATAACCCATTGTTCATAAATTTTGCCTTATGTTCAGCTCAACATGGACCTTCTTTGTTGTTGTTGTTTTGTTTGGTACCGGAGATCAAACCCGAGACCTAACACTTGTGAGGCAGGTGGTAGCACCAATGAGCTAAATCCCCAGCCCCTGCCTTGGACCTTTTTTTTTTTTTTTAATTTAATTTAT